ATAGAAGGGATAGAAGACAAGACACAGGACATTATAAGGGAATAGTTCAGAGCCCATACTGTAAGAACATGGACCAACTCACCTTGACGGGCAAACATTTCTTAAAAACGACTTTTTTCTTTAAAATTTTGGTGCGGATAGTGCTAAATGTACTATTTGAGATGAGATAAACACCATAATGTTCTATTCTCTTTCTTCAAAAATTACAAAACTGCAATTTTCTTGACCTGACTCTTACATCGGTATTATTTACATTAGCGGTGAATAGTTTAGATTATTACATTTATGAGTACTTCAAGTGATGTCTTATAATGTTTCTCGAAAACTCAAACATTTTCAGTAAAAATGAGCTCAACATTCAACATTTCCAAAATGTTCAAATGCCATTTTCTGAAAAACCGGCTCGATTCCTGTAGAACCTCATGTGAAATTTCTTACGTCAAAAAACGAATTAGCATGCTTCACAGGGGCTAGTCCAACCCCTGTGAAGTGTCCTAAACCCTACCCCATTCCTCATTCCTTTTCAATTCTGGCGCTGAGTAATGACACAGGGGTGCGTAGTAGGAGGCGTGTACGTGTAGATGCTACTGGGCGGTCCTCTAGACAACTGACTGCGACGAGACGTGACAGATATGACATTGAAGTGTTAATGGAGGATTTCTCCAGCGCTGTTGTTAATGGAGGATAACTTCGAAAGCTCAAAGCGCTCAACGACCCCCCCCGGGTTTGGAGACAAGTTGAGTCAACTGAAGACGCAATTAAAAGAAAAAAAATTCTTCAAAGTTTCTCAACGGATAGTGCTATTTGTGCTTTTTTAAATGACATAATATTTATTTTGGCGGATTCTTTAGTTTTTTCCAAAAACATTACACTTTGTAATTTTTTAAAATATTACATTACACACCGCTGTTAATATGTGCATTTCCAGCAATTTGTATACACTGTTGCTTTTGTGGGTGGAAGTGCTTTAAATTACTTCCAATGACGTAAGTGGAAACTCAAAAGTCTCCTGTGAAAAAAAGCTTCAAATTCCACATTTACAGTAACGCTTAAATATGTTTTCTTAAAAATGGTTCCAAATTTTTCAACGAAAATGTCCATATATCCATAGGAAGATGTTTCATTCTTTAATATTCTCTAAGTAATATTTCGGTTCCACCATTGCAAAACTGAAAAATTGAGAAAATTGTTTTAAAAAAAAATGTAATTTGGGCGGGGAAAGATGGCAGCAGGGAAGAGGATGGGAAGACTGAAAAGGTAGCCCAGACCAAAGAAATTAGAAAACTAATACAAAAAAGTCTGTGCCATTCTGTAGCACCACTGGTTTCGGTATTAAGTATCTACAAACCCGGATTCTGGGGGAACATAATGCGTTAGACAGTAATTTACTACATAGGGGAACTAGATCATTCCATCTTATCGGTATCAGGTTCCGACAATAGGAGTTTATTCAGTCAGAAAATTGCGATTTTGTGCTGCAATATTAGTAGTAGTAGTAAGTAGAATTAGATAAAACAACAGATGCTATAGAATGGTACAGACTTTCTCGTACTATCATTTTTCTCATTTCATTGGCCTGGGCTAGCATTTAGTTGTTGCCCATCCTCTTGCAAGATGGTAGAATCGAAATACTATATCAAAAATATTATTCAATAAAAAACTTTGTCCTATATGGAGATTTTCGTTCAAAAATTTTGAGACGTTTTAAGACAATGTTGTTTAAGCATTACTGTAAATGCGAAAAGCTGTAGGAGGATAAGTGCGATAAAAATGCCTACAAGCTTAATTCAGTTTTGAACAGAGGGCATGTTCAGTGTTATTTTGAAAGACATTTTCCAAAAATCTCAAACAGAAGTCTCATTATTTTGTAAGCTATCAAAAAAAAAAAAAACAATGAATTTTCAGTTTTTGATTTTTTTTCATATCATTACTCTGAGATAAAATTCTGAAATAAATTATAAAACACAGCTGACTAGGATATGTATCTTAGAGAGCTTTTTCAAAAACATTTGTTGAGAAATTATATTTTCTTAAATTATTGAATTATTCAGTATTTTTTTGTATTTCTCATGTGATGCCTCCAAAAAATTCCTGCAAATTGGTAGGGTTATTTACTACTGATTCTTTTTCAGATTTTTCATATAGGTGGGTCATATTGAAAAAAATAATAACTTTTTCTCGTCATTTATACGCATAAAACTCACGATAAGTTAATCACTTTCCTAGCGAAAAATACTTTTCAGATTGAAAATCATATCATTTTACCACTCACAACTATTAAAATTTTGTTAAAGTTTATTGGAAGTCGTTTGAAACACTTCAACTTACAAATCCAATAATGTATACAAATCGCTGGAAATGTGCATATTAGAGACGTGAGTTATATTTAAAGAAACAATATATATGTAATTTTTGAAAAAATAACAACAACAAAAATACAGCAAAATAAATTTTATTTTAACACCTTAAAGAGTGTAATTAGGACTATCCATTCAAGAAGTTCGAAGAAAAAATTGGGAGTCGTTTTGAAGAAAATGCAAAATTTCAAGCACATTTTAATAGAAAACTTACGTTTTCGAGAAACGTTGTATGACATTATTTGAAGTACATGTACTCATATTTACAATAATGTGAACAAATCGCCACTAATGTAAATATTAACGACGTAATAGACAAGTCAAAAAATTACATTTTTGTATAAAAAACACAAAAGAACAGAGAAAATTGTGTTTATGTTATCTTATTTGGTTAAAACAGTTTTGGTAAACAGAGGTTCTTTTGTATTTTGAAAACATAAAAAAAAAAGTAATTTATACTTAAAATGAATTTAAATCTTCAAAGGTGCAAGTCTCCCCCGCTTCCTTAGCAATCTTTGTCTATTCTAGCAAAACTTTTTTTTCTCCTGTTTGAAACATAATATTTTTATGCAAAACTTATAATTTTTTTTTTTTATCTTAAAAATTTGTCTCATGCACCTCAATATTGGTTAAAAAAATGTGTCCACTGTGAAGAAGGATATGTCTGCAAGTAAGTACGATTTCAGCAATGTGCATTTTTATTTTATAATATCCTACATAAAAACCACATTACTAATACATATCTGCAGTCAGAATCATCAGAATTAAGAAAATTGTCTCTTTTCATTAAGGGCAAAAAGTTTGTGAGAGGGCAGTTGAGACAAGAGACCACTTTTGTCTTGCAGACAGATCTAACAATTCGATACAATACAAATCTTACCTTCAGAATTAAGTAAACGATCTCTTTCAGTTAGAGGGAGAAGTTCTTGACGTTCTTTGTTGGTAAGAGGGAACTTGTGTAGAAGACCACATATATGAGTACGAGCTGATCTAACAAGTTGAAAAGCAGCATCTGCTTGCACTATAGTAGATCCTTCACGTTTATACACTGTCAAATAACGATTAGCTCCTTTCCTAAAATAAATGAGAAAATTTCAATTTTTCGAAATCAAGGCAAACAGATACTGTACAAGGAATTCAAAGGTACAATTACAATTCATAAACTTATTACACTTGAATTGAAACATTTTATAGAAGAATAAATAGATAATTAGTATTTGTATTCTGAATTCAAACTTCAAAAACTTTATAAATGGTGACACATTCAATACCTAGGACTTATACGAATGGTATTGTCTTGTTTCCATTCTTATTATCTCAGTTATCATTATGCTTTCCTAAATTTAACACTCAACTCTTTAAATTGTTTTACAATCTAATTACTATCAACAATCACATTATAAAGTGAGATTAATTAACATGCTAGGATTGACCAACACATTTTTAATGAATTGTTATATGAATATGGATTCATTCATTAATTTCATTACATCTTTGATTGCAAATTAATAATTGTTTACATATCAGATCTTTTGAAGTTTTGAGAAATGATCTTACAGCTAAAAAACTCTGTTTGATGTTCTATTATAAAAACACAGAGAACGTACTTTTGTTTCAGAATCTTTCAGAAACTTGTTTCAGTAACTTTGAATAACATACAACTAACATGTTTACCATTTAAAATTCTTACGTTTCAACAACATACCAACAAATAGCAATGAGTATCCTTAGTAATAAATAACATTGCATATTCCAAATGAAATATGAACTTGAAATTACAATAAATTTGTGTTAATCACATTTATATATTCATTTACTGGTGCAATTTAGAATATTTTACATTAAAAGATAAGCTTCCAATTCCTCTGTCTTTCGTTCATTTATATTCAAATTTTGTCCATAAAATAATGTTTGTTTTTATTTATTGTATTATAGCTGTCAATTTTACCAACTAATTTGAAACTGTACTTGGAGTCATATTTGGGCCCTGAAATGAAGTACTTATGAAATAAAGTGAAATTCATAACATTGATTGTCTAAAAATGAATTTGAAAACTTACTTCAAGAAAAGTAACACAGACAATAATCAAGAAATATACAAAAGAATGTAGTTTACTTTAGTTTCGCCACCCTATTTGCAGGCTCTGCTGGAAGTGTGCAGAAAGTAGCTATTTGAAAGTGTTTTGGGGCATAGTTTATAACTTTTTACACATTGCAAAGACCTAAGCTTTGCCACTGATTTACAACTGCCAGAGCAGAGAAAAGCAAATTAGCTATAAAAATGAGCTGGAACTTTGTAATTTTCAAAACCACATTTTTGAGTTGTCTTTTCTTACTTTTATGTCAAAACATAGCATCCTCAAGAAGAGTAACCAAGCTAAAATAAAGTTGACGCAAACAAATTAACTCATATCTTACCCTCTACTTTTGGATCGCAAACCCAACTGTGCAGCCAATTGATGAATGTAAGCCCTTTCATCAGCATTTAAAGAAGATGGAAATTCAAGTTCTATAAAAGAAACCATCCAAACAATTAAATACAATCACAAGACAAATAATTGGCTTGTAAATATCCTCATAATACAATTTCTGAGAAGTAATGACACAAACCTTTATTTTCCTCAGTACAAAGAAACTTTTTCAGCGTTAGGTTTACAGCTATTCGAACTTCTTCTCCAATTGGAGCAGAACCTTTTCCTCGATTCTTATTCTTTCTAGGCATCTTTGTAAATATTAATGGTCTATGTGGAAGAGAATCACTGAGAAAGAAAAAGATAATTGTTTGCACAATGCTGTTACAAAAACTATTTTAGTAACCTAGCAATCTTCTAAGCAAAACTAATGATTTTAAATGGTAAATGTGTTAAAAATTGAATTGCTAGATACAATCTGCACGTGTTTCTTAAGCTCTTATTTTGCCACATGGGAGCGATGTGGAGGGTTGAGTTATTTCTTGAGCAATTCTCTGAAATTAAATCTGTATTTTGTTTCCAAAGCGAATAGTTTCTATTGCTTGATAGCAAACATTTCTTATGAAATGTAGCCAACAATTCTCATTTATATCTTTTATTAATAATTTAATATTTGGCAAAAGAGGGGGTTTCCTGAGGTGTTGAAATATCTGTCTACAAAATAACAGAAAATTACTTTTACTAATGTAAGGGCTCTTGTTATATATGTACATCTTTTAAATGCATACTTTAGTTTCTATTGATGCAAACAAATAGTGCTTTGCAAATAAATGTTTCAAAAGTTTTCTTTTATGTTATTGCAATATTGGATTTCGCAGGTACCCAACGTTTTCAATATTTCAATACATTCCTCTTACATGATCAATTTAGTTCCTCAGTGCTGACATTCTTACCACTGATCAATTAATTACATAGGCCCAAAAGAATCAACAACACTAACACACTTCTGACAGATTTCACACTAGGGCACCCTATGATTTACGTATTTACTGTTTTCATTTCGGTACATTATTTTAAGCCATCAATTTGGGGCCAGTTTCACAATAAGTACCAACAATTCTTCAGAATGTACACTATATGCATTATACGAATACATAATTTATCAAGTTACAAACTTTTTATACGAGAATCCGCTTTCGCATATCTCATTACACAGAACGAAATGGTGTTCATGATTTATTGTATACCTATTAATAATTTTCAGAATTGATGGTCGGTTTCCACATTTGTATTGTGTATTTAGGCAAGAAAGTGGCGTACTCGATTCACATTCCTTTCATTACACAAATATTAAATGTCAATTAACAGCTGTCTACAACATTAACAAAATACAATATATGATTATAATTGAACGACAGTCAATCCCACCGCTGGCAACATACAAATTTTTCGTTTCAATGAATAACATTCATAACTTTTGCACTTCAGCTGTTCACGAAGCGCTTGACGTGACGTTGCCCCCCACAGAATACCCACATGCGATACCAGTAGTTCCTTTTATTTCCGTTAGGTCCCTACGTTATTTACTCCCGCAACCAGTTTTCTCATGTTTGGTCGTGGGTGCGAGGAATACGATTTCTGCACGGTCCTGATTGAAACAGTCAAGACCAACGCTGTTCCCGTACAAAGTAGAAGAATCGTGTGCCAACACTGTTGTAATGTTAAATGTTTACATGTAATTGAAATTTTGCCCCTTTGTTTACAAACAATCAGTTTTACCAACAAACGCATTTAATCACTCGAGTAATGAAGTGATAAAATGTCTTCTGCTTGGGGAACAGTTTCTACGCTATCAAAGAAGAAATTCGTACGTTATGGTGTACCTTTTATGGTTATGGTAGTAGGTGGCTCATTTGTGCTTAAAGAATTCGCTCAACTCAGGTACAATAATTTTTTGTTGTTTGATCGTATATGATAAAGCAGAGAAGTTTCTGGGACTTTGTATTAAGGCATTTTACATTGAATGTCTGTCAAACTTTACTAGGTACACATTTTCCAAGAAGCAGAAGCTTACTCGTAAAGATATGGAAGAACTTGGATTGGAAATTAAGGAAAAACAAGCAGTGAGCTTGGAAACAGCTTATGAAGAAATTAAGAAGGTGTATTTGGATATCATACTTTGTGTCATTTTGTTATGTACCAGTAAATATTTTAACATACTTTTTCTTCACCAGATGGATATAGATAATTGGCACAATATAAGAGGCCCTCGTCCTTGGGAGGAACCGGCTCCTGAATTAGTCGCAATGAGGAACAAGAGTAAATCCTAAAACCATTATTACTTTTGTCACCAAGCACTCAAAAGTTTGGGCTGTGATAACTACCTTATATTTAATGTTGCTCTGTAGAATATTTATAGTTTTCATTTATATTGTACAATTTTTATTTTGAAAATAGAATACCTTGTTTCCCAGAACGTGTAATGCATTTTTTCCCTTTCAATAGATCGTAAGTTCCAAAAGGTTTTCAAAATTTAATACGAAGATGTGAATAAAAATGGCGCTTTATTTGTGAAGGTATTGTACAGCTCAGAAAATGAACAAAATGTAAATAAATAAAGCTCAAGTTCTAAACTCGTCTTTGGGTGTGTTAAATAATGACGAGCTATACATGCACCATATTTTAAAGTTCATATTTTATTCTCGCAACAAAATTCTGTTTTAACAATGAGAAAATGGCATACATTATTGTGAAGCCTCTTCAAATTTTTATCCTTATACTTAATTGGAATAATCATAATTACAATTTTCACAATCTAACCAGAGAAAGTAGACTATTGTTTACTTGCAACCTGTGGTCGAGTTAACGTCACAGCACTGAAACATGGGCCTTACATTTAAAATGTGTCATTGGGCACACACAGCGAACAGTTCCTTATTTTGAATTCTTCTTTTTTCCTTTTTTTGCAAAATTCCAACTGTATATATAGAATATAATTTTATGTACAAAAAATACCTAGAGGTTGTTCTAACCTCATTAAAGACTTACTGTAGTTGGGAAATTACAAGTTCAAATAGCAAAAAAAGAGGAAAAGAAAAAACATTAATGCAATATGTAGTATGAGATATTTCATTTACATGTTAGTAAATAGATCTTCAAAAACAGAAGCAAGAATGTCATTGTTAATGACAAGGAAACAAAACAGCATAAACATCTATGCAAAAATATATATACAATATAATATTGACACCTGCAACACTTTGACTCAAGCACTCCATAATAGAACTATGATAATAGTTACCCATTTTGTTTAATAATTACCATTGTATAAGATAACTTTTCAAACATTCATAGTAACAATCTACATTCAACTTAAGTCTCTCTTCAAGTCCTGTTTACACCATACCAATACAAATATAACTAAATCAGGCTATACATTTCTGTATAATCACCATTACCTCCGAGACAAAACTACAACAGTTGCGTTTTGCCTTGAGAGATGCTGCAAAAATGTGTTAGAGATCAATCAATACATGTGCTTCTCACTTTCATATTTTATCTATGTGATGCAACTGGTGCAGTGTGAATTACACATACCATGCCAACAATCTTACAAGAACACAATATATTAGTTTGGTGTAAACAATACAAGACTTTTTAACCAAACATGTTAAATCACTTTCATAACATTAACACATCATAATAGCTGCTGAAAACTTCAACCAGTTTGCACAACAGAATCTTCCATTTTGGCATCACATGAATCTTCATCAAAATCATCCCATTCTTTTACAAGGTCTGCCATTTCAACTGTTGGCATTCTCCTTACAGGCATGCTGGTCACTGGAATGGATTGCTTAACAGGTGGACAGGGAATTTCTGACGGTGAAGCTTCTCTCACTGCAGATTCTGCTATACGTTCGACACATTCTTCTGTAGTGGCTTTCTTAAAATTTCCCTCAGAATTGTGTTGAAGTAAAACAGGAGGGTTGTTATTTGTAGGATCTTGCTGAACTTTCATTACACTTTGCTGTATCTCACTTAAACTGTTTGTTCTTTCACAAATCGCAGGGATTATAACAGCCGTATTAGGTGAGGCAAGAGAAACGGGGACAGAAATTCCTTCATGAATTGCATTTGTAATAACTGCCATTTGAGTTCCATTTCCCTGTAAGGTTGACATTACATGTGTTTGTGTAGTTTCAGTTGAAACTACTGGTATAGTGTTACTGCTTACACTAACAACAGGTTGTGTGATAATAAACATCATATTTTCAGGTGCAGGTGCATCTTTTTGAGTTGTGTCTTCAGCATAATCATGGTCAGAGAGCACTAATGCTATTTCTTCACCTTCAGAAGTCACAGAAGGAAGAGTTGTTGTTGGTGCAGCTCCAGTTGGATTAGTAGGTAAGGCACAGTGCTCAGCATCGGATGTAGATGTCTGAGCTTCAGAATTTTCAGTGTGGTATTGTTCTACATTTGGCAGCTGCCCAGTGTAATGTTGATTTTCTTCGGCAATTATTTCTGGAACAATATATTCTGGACAGCTTTCCTCAGATCTGGTTTGACTTTCTTCAGTGTATTCTTGTGCTTCTGTAAACGCAGTTTCTTCACGCACAACTTCTGTTGTATGCAGAATAAACTCTTGATTTTCATCTAAAACTATGACAGTTTGTTCACCACTGAGTGTGTCGGCTAGGCCAAGGGATGCAGCAATGCCACTTGCTACATTACTCAATGCTTCTGCTTCTGATGAAGGAACCAAAGTTTGTATAGTTGGCGCTTCTGCCAAAACAGTCATTGTTGGAGCTAACATTACTGATTGTGTAGTCTCTGATTTTGCTTGAGGAACTGCATTCAATACAGGCACTTCCATCACTTGTCCAACTTGAGCTCTAGGCAAGTTTTCATCCCCTGTAGTTTCGTTTTGGGAATCACCGTCTTCTGAATCCAATGGTAACTGCAAACCTTGTTCATCTAATTGCCCACCTGCACCATCATCTATTTTTCTGAAGTCTTTGTGAGCTGTTCGTAAATGAGCTTTTAAATTAATATTACGAATAAAAGTTTTCATACAGTAAGGACATTCATATAGTTTCTTTGAGGGATCTGAGTGCAAGTTTGTTTGCATATGTCCTTGCAAAGCTCCATTGCTTTTGAATGTAGCATTACACACCCGGCAAATGAACTCTTTGTTATTTAAATGATTATTACGATGCTTAATTAAGAGAGACTCACTAAGGGCTACATAGTCACACTGATCACATTTGGGAAATTGACAGTTACGCGGAGGTGGAATATTATGCCTTGTATAGAGATGGTACAGCAAAAGATTCCTCTTACTTGCTCTATGTCCACAATGTTCACAAATACGAGCATCGATTTTTTCCATATGAACTTCTTGCAAGTGACGTCGATACTGGTAATATGTTTCAAAATTTACAGGTTCCTCATTTGAACCACAAGTATGACACAGCCAAGGCCCAGTAGTATTTTCAGCTCCTGAGACAGTCTTTTGCTGGCTAGGAAGGTCTGAAAGTGGTTCCACATGTCCACCATGTTTCAACACAACAGCTTTTCCTTTACCTGCCACTTCTGATTTCACGACCACATAAGACACTTTAGATTTTACCAACTTATTTGGATCTGTTTCAGTTGCTACTGCAGGGGCTACTGGTTGATTGCCTCTTTGCATTATTTTTAACCGAATGTTTTTATTGTTTTTCACCAAGTGAGGATACTTCTTCAACACCTCTGTAATTATTTTAGCATGATTTGACAAATTTCCTGGCTCTGTAACACTTCCAACTGACACTGTTGTTGCTTTATTTACTGATGATTTGATTTCTTTAGAAGAATTTTCTTTCCCTTCAGATGATTTGTCATCCAAAGAAAATCTCACCTTCTTGGAGCCAACAGGTGTGGAAGTTGACACAGGAACAGGTTCTTCAAATGTTGGTTGTGACTTGAGAATTGACTTTTGAGGTGTATTTACTTGTTGGGAAGGCGTAGGCCCACTGAGAACACCTTCAGGATGTTCAGATTCTTCATCCATATCATCATCATCATCATCATCCATATCAGCAACTGCAAGATCATCATCAACATCTTCACTACTATCCTCCGTATCAACAAGATCTTTACGGAGCTTATGCTCCGCAATATACTCCTTAACTGCCTGGAGATCCACAATTTTGGGCTTCTTGGCTTCATTAGGATCAGTGACAACTACAGGTCTTTTAATACTAACTGCAGTACGACGGACTTCTTCAAAACTAACTGCACGGTTTTCAGGCCTTGGTGGAACTGGAGAAGTAATTGCTCTTTGACATTGTACCAGGGGTGCTGGGGGCACTTTTGGCCTATCTGCAGCTTTTACCAATGGCTTTGTCTCATATGAAATGTCATCAAAACTTGTTGTAAATGGTGGAGTTTGTTGGATATCCTCATCAGGCCATTCAAACCGAGTTGGTCGTGGAACCTCGTCAGCCTTTGTCATTAATATACGGCTGGGCCTGTAAAACAAAAAAGAAGATATTATACATTGCAGGAACTTTTTTGTTTTGAGTAGTTTAACATGTTTCAAAACATACCCTTCATGGTTAATAACAGATGAATCAGATCCATACGATGGAAGGGTGGGAGCACTACGCCTTTTCCAGATAGGTAATCTAAAAAAAATAATTAACAGCTATTGTACACTTTTTCTTATAGAAATGTTAAACACTACACATTATGTCCACTAATATGCATATATTTCAAATTTATTAACTTAATAACTCACTTTCGACCAGGAAGAGGTTCAGGTAAGTCAGAATCTATTTGCTTTGGTACTATTTTCTTGCCTTGCAAATTCCAAGTCACTGGCAATGGCTTCTTAATAGGGACTGGTTTTTGATGTGTATTTGATGGTGTTGCCTGTGCATCAAGTAATTTTGTCAAAACAGTCATATTCATCTGCTGGGCAGCAGCATACAGTTGGGTGTGTAGTTCAGTTCGGAATTCCAATCGTCCTGTGTACATGAAGCTGCAAAAGACATTTACTATTTTAGTGTAATATGACACTTGGGCACTTAAGATTATTTAAAAATATGATACCCTTTCATTAATCATAGGTACAAGAAATATAAACCATCTAGGCTGGGAAATGAATAAATCAATTAATACTAATTACAGCACAGTTCAAAGAAAGGAAGTAATTCTTGGGTAATGAATAACTCAGATTACAGAAAAGTCTTACTTGATGATAGGCACCACAACTTCTGACTGAAGATCTGCTGGCATGCGAATGATACAAGCTCCGACATTACAGCCTTGTTTCTCAAGTGTCTGAAAATACTCGGTGCAAGCATTAAGTACAAGACGATGCACCTGCAAATAAACACAGAAATTAATAAAAATTATAATGCACCAAGAATGTACTTACACCAGTAAATACAAACAAACATACTTTAACTTGATCATTGTTACTAAATTGTAGAATTAGATCACAATATTCACTTCTATTAAAGAATTGTTGCAGTCTTTGAAGGAAAAAAATTCCCCAATTGTCAACTTTTACTTGTTTCACATTTCCTTCATTCATGGTTGCAATGTTTACATTCTACAACTTAATCACACAAAATGTGTGTATAAACTCATATCTGCATTCTGAAAATAAAATAAAATGTAAGGATACACACATAGGTTTGTGCATCAAGATATTTGGGGGTAAGGTCTTTCCGTACGGCGTTGACGCTATTTCCATGAAAACCTTCCAAGATTTGACATTTCATATCAGCTGAGATGGTGCTTAAAAGTATCTCTACCGAAGGATAGGAGAAGCAGATTCAAGCACATTCAATGCTCCAATGTGTCAAAGCACTGTAGGGAGCATATCGACATATGCACTCTATAGAAAATATATAAAAGTTTATGAAGAAGCTGCAAAATCTTCGAACGGTAACCTACATCCCCCACCATCTTGCTGTTTCTTCCTATGTAGAGATATTGGAAAAGGTTGAAGCGTAAAATCATCACAAAACCACACAATAAATATCCAACGCATGACCCCTTGATCAAGACACTTATCTTGCCTTGTTGATAATGCACTAGCGTGTCGGTTTTCCGGAATTCGTCGCAAACGGTACGGAAAGACACAAACGACATGCAAGGTCATTCGCGGACGGTATTCCAGCTGCATTTAACGAATGTGCAGTACAAGTATAAATGCCAGCTCCCAAAATAACACGTTTTCGATCATACTTTGGTAAATATGCATATAATGGGTTTGTTTTGAACAAATTCAAATATACAGACCAAATACAGAAAGTTTCAAATATCCGACTCAGCTCCATCTCTTAGCTCTCCCTCGATTGCCAACAGGGTATTGAACAAGTTAGTTAGAGAAGCTACACATAGATAGCGGCACAAATTCTAGACGCGCCATTCGATTCCCCGAATCAATACGAGGAATACGAGCATACTGCAACCTAAAACTGAGAGTACAGGTACTGAAACGCGGTAAATGTGTCTTTGTACGTTCTTCCCGCTCCAATTAGATTATGCTTATAAATTATACAATTTGCACACAAAGTTAAAACACCTAAACGAGGAAGCCCATCACAAAAATTTGAAATTGCAATTTGTACCTGTTTGTAAAAGTTTATCGATTTCGCCGTCATTATATCAGATGATACGTAGTAAAGTTATATAGAACCCAATAAAACGACAGTATAAATTATAAAATGTATAAAACTGTCCATTATGTCACAATCGTAATTCATGTTTCTTAATATTTCGTGTCAATCATCTCAATCCCTTTACTGACGGAAAATATTTCACTACACCGTTGTTGGTTGTTGTTTTTCGTTAAAATTAAAAGGAAGAAATGTATATGACTTTGTTTAAGGTTTGATTAATCATAGACGTTTTCATTCCAACAAGTTCTCTGCATTTAGCACTAAGTTCTAGTGAAAAGTTCCTGTTTAAAAAATTGAATTGTTTGTGTAATTTAACTTTCCATTGGGCCTTTCTTTTCGTTAATAATTTCAGAGGACAACATTCTCTACATCTTGAGTGCATAAACAAAAACGATTTATTCATGGCAAACGCACATATATGAACGCAACCATGGTGGGAAGATAGAACGTAACCAAATCTCTGAACGCTACCCCTCATTCGACTATCGAAGGAGGTCTATCGATTGTGTGTCTCGAAATCTCGCAAAGGTCCACCACTCTGAAGAAGGAAAGCGTGGTGACGTCTCTTCCGGTATATTCGTGAGGTAAATTGCATTCGGTGTTTGAGTACTATAATTTTATTTACAGGCATCGACGTATGTATCCAATATTTCACGTAGTAAACCAGTGCTTTTAATAATATGCTAGTTATAGATTATGTTAATAATAATGCTATCTATACATATATTAAATTTAAGGGTTTTATCGAGCTCGAAAATAACGTGATAACCCATACCGCTGTGGAAAAGTTTTAGCATGTGTGTATGTTTCCAGATCCCTTTTACATCATGGGGAGATATTCACGAGAACCTGACAATGCTACAAAATCTTGTAAAGCCCGAGGATCTAATCTTCGCGTTCATTTTAAGAATACCAGAGAGACAGCAATGGCAATGCGTAAGATGACCCTACGTAGAGCTGTTCGTTATCTTAAAAATGTAATGGACCATAAAGAGTGTGTACCTTTCCGCCGTTTTAATGGAGGAGTAGGACGTTGCGCTCAGGTAAGTGTGCAGCGCAGTTGATGCCATCAGAGAATTTTGTTTTTCCAAAAAACATCTGTGAAAGATTAGCTAGAGTTATTATTTATAAAGTTCATTTTGGTAGTCAACCGAACATGGCTAGTTTTCTCCAGGGGAGCATATTTACTATTGTGTATTTACATTCTTTGAAATGGTGTCCTATTAAATAGTGGGATTCGAATTTTCTTAATTTAATGCCAAAGCTGAATAAGCATTCGAATAGCATCATAATTTTTATTATCATTATTGGATTCAGTAATGTTATTTAAAAATGTCTATAATTAACTCTGTTGTAAAGAATTACATTCCATTTGTGTACAGTAATTTCGGTGCGATTCCGTACACTTCGCCAAAAATGACTTGGAGTGGAATTGCAATTCATTTTGGAAAAGTTCAGCGTGGTTATTGAATATTGAAGAATTTGAACGTCGTTTCTAATCATAGTATTTGGTCAGTTAAATTCAAAATATTAACTTGTTTGTTGACATGTTGAGATATTAATTCTATCTTTAGGGCTATAAGAGCAACAACTTAATATATTGGACTGAAATTCATATGCATTAAATTAAATGTACGTTAAAATATGATTACTACTCATAGAGTTGGAGATGTGATGTATTATGTAATGTTTAGATATTATTTAGGTATCTTCTGATTTATGTATGAATTATTACATTTTAATGTGAGTAATTATTTGGTTTGTCTTCGTCCAGTGTATTAACTGTTGTTGCTCTTGTCCTGACGGGAGATGGAATACCAATATTCTGAAATGTGTAAAGATTGTGAATTAACTATGACAAATCCAGTCAATTTACCTAGATTGTTGTGAACATCCAACATTTATTCTAGAAATGTGAAATACAAAGGACTGTAGAAATGTGTAAGGGCAAATTTAGGTTAGGTTAAGGTTTCTTGTGAAGGCTTAACATTTATTTTCTTTTGAGAAAGTAACCAGTTTAGTTTTCAGAGTTTGCTAAAAAAATTGAGATTGAGAGGAAACTATTGTAGATCATTTCAGTGATTGGGTGTAATTTAGTAATGCTGGGGGTTTTGTAACCAAGCATAATTTATGGAGCTATTAAGAAATGGAGAGAGAAAAATGTACTTGGTTTTGAAAGTGAGAAATTGCTTGGTTGTGAAATTGCAATTTACCTGTGGGATAAGTCCTAGAATTATTAAAATTTTGAGGTACACTAACATGTTCCACGTTGACAATTAAACAAATTTAGTCATTCTGCATCTTTTAATCCTAGGGTATTAATTCTTGTTAAACAAAGGAAATATTAATACTAAAATAAAAAAAGAAAACTTAAGTACTTAAATAATCAAAAAATACTATAATAAAAAAAATACTTGAAATAATACTTAAATAATGTCAGAAACCTGGGTCTGGGTAAGTAAGCAGTTATCCCCTTCCCAAATAAAAAGCTTCTACAAAAATGTGAGCTCTTTAACGTTTATTATTTTCTTTTGACTATAATATTTCTTCAAAATAAAGCCAAATACAACGTGACAAAATTGAACGGTTAATTGCATTCTTATTATTTGCAACCATAACCCCATTATTGTTTTGACCTTATTTTTCTGAAGCCTCAATAGTTAGTAAAACTGTGAGTAAACATCAATAAAGTCAAATTCCCCCACAAACCATCAATATTGTGTAGTTTTCATTGCTCTCTGATTTCAACACTTCATATGTTTGCTCACAATTTATTAACTATTGAGGCTTCAGAAAAAGAATGTCAAAACAATGGTGGGGTTATGGTTAATGAATAAGAATGCGATTAACCATTCAAATTTTGTAACATTGTATTTGGTCTTTTATTTTGAAGACATAGACAGAAAAGAAAATAATAATTTTAACATTTCAATTCTGATCTGTTCTGATGTCTCCTATCATGTCTGTTTAGTCTCACGGCGTGGGATTTTCTGCTAGTGCCCTGATGTTCTCCATCCCATTATCTTGGCCTGCATAGAAATATTACTACACCCAACTAGTGCTATTTGTTGAACGAAGGATAATTGTACTTGCATTAAGAAGGAACTTGTATTTTCTAATCTTTATATTTTCAAAAATTGACTAGGAAAATTTCAAGAATTAATTTGTTTTGCTTTATTACATTTAATTATAAGATTATTGCATATGATGGCACTAAAATATGAAAAATGTCAAAACTGAAGTTGATATTTCTGGAAGATTGAAACTTATTGATTGAAAGAATTGAAAAATTTAAAATTATATTTATTTGAATAGTATTAGGACATTCATAAATTGTGTATAATTGATAAATTTATATTTTTTATTTATAAATGACCCTCTCATATCAAATGAAAACTTTCAATTTGTATGTCTTCCAGGGGAAGGGATATACATGTGAAATAGTTGTACTGGGAAGTAATGCTATTCTTATTTGTTAATTTAGGCTAAGCAGTGGAAGACAACACAGGGTCGCTGGCCAAAGAAATCTGCTGAGTTTCTTCTGCAGTTGTTGAAGAATGCAGAATCAAATGCAGATTACAAGGGTCTTGATGTAGATCGTCTTGTAATTGATCACATTCAGGTTAATCGTGCACCGTGTCTTAGAAGACGAACATACAGAGCTCATGGTCGCATTAACCGTAAGTTTATAGCATGTCCTTTCGCAATGAAAGTTTTGGACTTATATATGAAGATAAATTAATCAAATGTTTCATTATAATTCTGTTTACAGCTTACATGAGCTCTCCCTGTCACATAGAAGTTGTTTTAACTGAAAAAGAGGAGGTTGTTGCTAAAGCATCCCAGGAGGAGCCTTTGAAGAAAAAGATTTCCAAGAAGAAACTGGCGAGGCAGAAGGAGAAGATGATGCGTGATTAAATGTTTAATATGACAATTTGAAGTGAACTGAATGTTATCAATAAACCAGTTCCATTAAATCAATTTTTTTTTTTAAACCCACTTCATCAATTTGTATGAATAGTGTCTTCAGTTTTGGCTTATTGGAAGAGCAAGTTAATTCTGCTGAGATTGCTCGGTGACATCAGTTAGGAGAGGGAATTAATTTAATCAGAAATATTATACACATAGTGCTGTATATAAAAATTTGAACTAGGATGCTCATTACATGGTCTCTTAGGGCCCTATTTTAGTAGTGTCTTATGTAAGGAAATGCTTATGCACAGTGTTTTCATTGAATATATTTTCAACAGTATGATGGTGGTACTGTTTCATGAGGCAAAGTCATTTCAGCTGTATCGGCCATTTTAATCCTGCCAGGTGATGGTCTTTCATTTGTGCCTGTGAGGCAGCTGTAACTTCTGTATTTATTGGTAATATCTTAAATAAGAATGAAGTATATTAACCTCTATTAGTAATTTGAAAAATCGGCCGATGAGAGGGGGTTTCCTTATACAATCAGGCTTGAAGTTGAAAATAATGCAAGTTGCTGTACTGCTTTGCATGTGTTTAGTTTTTTTATGCCTTTCATTAGCATGATTAGTTTGAGACCCCAGTGAAGTGCTTTATATAATTAGCAAATGTCATTATAGTTATTTTACTACTAATATGCATAGGACATGCATTTCTAAAACCTAATCTGAGTAAGAACGATATATTTCTACCACCCAAGTAAATGGCAACATTGATTTACTCCATCCCCAGCTGTCAAGTATAAAGAAATATTTAGACAAAGCAAAGTTGGCCACCAATCTTACTAAAACTTTTACATCAAATGATAAAACATCGTTTGTGTGTCATTCTACATAATCTGTAATATAACATAATTGTCCTAAACATTTTGAATAAAACTGTCGTAATTTATCGATCACGCAACTGTTGGGCATTTATACACTATCACTAGAATAGGGAAATATAACTAGGAGCGTATTTTGACTTCACTAAACTACAAAATTATCAATAAAATGTTTTTAACATGCCCTAAAAGCAAAGAAAAAATGACGTAACATTTAATAACAAATTAAATTGCACAACTCAAGCATTTGAATGTTACTGATGTACTCGCAGTTAAGTACCGAAGGGGGGCATGTCTCCCTAAAAAGGCCTAGAGAAAAAAATGGTAACTGCAAAATGAATAAAATTGAGAAACGCATGAAAATATAGTAGAAACGTCTAAAATATTTCAATTAAGGATCAGCGGATTCTGAGAGCCTTTTAGTTACAAATGGTATTTTTATTCTCGATGTATTTTAGCCCAATGGTAAGCATGGAAAATATATTCGACTGTTGTCCAGAGGCGTGTAACACGCTCTTACGTTTACTCCGCTTGGCAGCGCTGCTTCGGCGACTTCCTCGTATTGGAGTGCATACTACTTTTTTAAATACAAATACTCTGTTGGAGTGGCCGACGCAACAGGAAATAGTCAACGGAGTAGGTGTCAAGTGAGTGATCGTGGGCCGCTATGACCTTTGGCGCGATTACAGTGTGCCCGAAAGAATATGGCATGGATCTCTTGCATGAGCCAGGAAACGGCGCGGTGATTAGTAGCGAATCCAGGGGGGAGGCACTCCCCCTCCAAGAAAATGTTAACTTTTCGTTTGTTACCTTCTTTTATTTTGAAAAATTGATTTAAATAATCTTTTATATGATAATTATGAAATTATTTAAAAATAATATTGTGTTTACACTCTACAAAAATAATATAAAATAAAATAGCAAACGTTTATTATTTAACGAAACTCTACAAAATGATCGGCTGGGTCCGCCCCTGGCGGTAATAGTCGAGAAGAAAACGAAAATATCCAAAAAGGAATAAGACGGAAAGAGAAAGAAATTAATGAAAATAATAAGAAGATGCTTGAGACATTTTGTGCAAACCTGACGACTTTATTTAGTACTGGACAGTAATGTTCGTATGTAAGTGAATGTTTCATTTATAAATCGACATACGTTTTTATTTAAATTTAATGTGTTCACAGTTGTATCATAGAATGAAAAAAATAATATCCTAAACCTTCCTAGTTTTGCAGCTTTGAATTCAACGATTTTAATAACAAATTATTACTTTTACTTTCTCGCTACCGCTTACGAAGTAGAAAGTCACGTAATAGTTCGCGGGAAAAGGCGGATTTTCGACAAAAACTCTTATTCTTTGGCCCTGATAACGAAAACGTACATAAATACAGTTGCTAAAATTAGACTTAAAAAAAGTCCTCTTACGATGGTGTAGCCAGAATCCATCTTTTGTGGGTCCTTGATACTGAAAAATTAACGGAAAAACGTCCGTCCGGTGTGTATGAACAACACTAGCGCCTAAACCATGCGTATTCATTCTCACGTCGATTCTGTTTGCATTAGCGGCGCTTTGTTGTGACATGATTGCTTTACAAGTAAATGTGCTTTAAATGATGCCATATAAAGCTTCTCGAAAAATCAAAAGTTTTCTTTGAAAATTAGCTCAAAATTCTGCATTTTCACAAACGCTTAAAATTAAAAGTATCAAATAAATAATGAAAATTGAGTTCAGGTACATTTTGTAAATTTTTGTCAGTGAATCATAAATTAGTTTAAGTTATGAAGCAGGAAATAAGCTTGAAGATTTTCACACAATCGAAGACGCCAGAAATAAGCCACAATTAAGTAATGGACTCCTGGACTCTCTAAGAAGAATACGCAGTGCTATTCACAAATTTGAGGAATCTAGGGATCTGATCACATGTGAGTCGCTTATGAAATAAGCGAGGGTAAAAAATATGATGCTAGCCCCATTTTCGGGTATTGCTCGGTTTTCTAAAAATTAAAAAAAACAACACATTTTAAAACTACTACAATTTCGAATATGATTGAATGTAATAGTGACAGATAATTTCCAGTTGTTTTTTTTGCATATACCTTAAAATCTTTACAAAATAATTCCTTTTGTGGACTTTTTTCGTCTAGATTACATCACAGATTCAAGAGCGCATCAATGTGTAATAGTTTAGCCCGGGCGCCACCAGAGGATGACAATGCTCATAATTTTCTCGACGAGGCTCAAGCAGGCTTCAGGAAACAGGAACACCATTACCCAACATCTCAGAGACGCATTAAGATGACACTCCCTCCTGAAGATGTCAACTTCCTGCTGTCCTAGTAGATTGGAAAGCAGTCTGGCGAGGAATGTTGTTACTGAAAATAGGAAAGGTCGGGATCACAGGCCAACTTCTTGGTTGGATAAAAATCGTCCTGGGTGAGCGCTACCAAAGAGTAGAATTTCAAGACCAATTCTCTAAATTTCGATTGCAGAGACAAGATCTTCCACAAGAAGCGGTTATCACTGGCCAATTCTATAAATTGAGTATAAATTATGTACTTGGAACAATTAGAAGAACACCAGGAGTCCAAGTATTACTGTACGCGAATGATCTGCTCATATGGGCATCGAGTAGCTACCTAAAAGCCTTAGAGTCAACCTTAAAGCCAAACCAGGCTTTAGAAAACCTGGGAGAATGGGACGACAAAAACTTCCTTATAGTCAGCACTTCGAAAACAGTACACCAGATCGGTAGCCTCTCAACTAAGCAGCCCGTGATTACACTCTCACATAAAGGGATCGACTTGGAGAAACAGGACATAGCCAAATAACTGGACGTGTCAATCGATAAGAAAACGAATTGGACATCTCACAACGACGGTTCTGCTAAAAAGCTACAGAAAGATGTCGCCTACATAAGCGCCTGACATGGGGGACCTGAAATGGGGCTCTACCCAGGATGTGTTAATTACGACGTATAAAACGTATTTCGCCTTATCCTGGAATAGCCTGGAAGCGAAGCCACTATAACGGCCAGTGCAATATAAATCCTCCAAACTAAATGTCGCCCAAAATACAGCCCTTAGATTTATCACATCATTAGCGCCTAAACCATAGGTAGGATTTTTCCAAAATGGATATTCTCCGGTCTATCTGGATCGCCACGAGGTGCTGCAATTTTGAAAAACTTTCTTCAAAATTTGGGGGTACTTTACATGAAGCCCTCCAGACTTTTCAATTTGTTTTCGAAAACAACCCCAATTTTTGTTTAAATTTTGTGTAAGAAGGAATAAAAATATGTTTATAAAGATGGCATAGGCGCGATTTTCACGATTAACTCTGCGTTTTCGAAAATTCGATTTTTGTCGGCGTCTTCATTCAACTATGAAATTGAATTTTGCCTTCAAACAAAAGCATATTCATTTATATTTTCAATATTTTCAAACATTGATAATATTTCAATATTTTAAAATATCTCTCACGTCTTTAATATGCTCATTTCCAGCACTTTGTAAACACTATTGCATTTGTGATTGGAAGTGCTTAAAATTACTTCATATGAATATTTTCAAAAACTCAATAGCTTTCTGTGACAAGAGTTTCAAATTTGGTATTTACTGTAGCACTTAAACGCTAATTTCTTAAAAATGGTTCCAATTTTTTAGAAGAAAATTGCCATTTTGGACGAGGTTTTACTGTTTTTAATATTCTTAAAATAATATTTCCATTCTACTATTAGGAAAACAAAAAATTAAGAATATTCAAATAAAAATATACTTTGGGTGGCAATTGATGGCAGGTGGCAAGAGCATGTAGCAAGTCTGGAGAGCTACCCAAGACCAAAAGAAACAGAAAACTAATACGGAAAAGTCTTTGCCATTCTGTTGCACCTCTAGTAGATTTTGGTCAATTTTGGAGGAAATAGGTGCAATATAAAAAAATTACAAAAACAAAATTTTTTCAAAAACAGCTCCAACTTTTTCTTTCAACTTTTGGAAAGGATAGTGCTTAATGCACCCTACAATTTGTCATAACAATGATCCAAGTCAATATTTACGTTAGCGACAATTTGTTCACATCATTGTATTTATGAGTGCATGTTCTTTAAATGATGTCATGTAAAGTTTCTTGCAAACTCAACAGTTTTCTGTGGAAATGAGCTCAAAATCCTGCATTTTGAGAAATGCTCAAACGCCATTTTCTCAAAAACATCTCCAATTTATTTCTTCAAACTTATCCAACTGATAGTGCTAATTGCCCTGTTTAAGTTTAACATATAGTTTATTTGGAGGTATTCTTTGTTTTTGTTTTTTCAAAAGTTACCCAAATACATTATTTTTAAATATCTCTCACATCATTAAGTTTAAAAAAATGACTTTAAATGAAGTTTTTCTAGAACTAAAAAATTGTCTGTAAAAAAGAGCTTCAAATTTTGCGTTTACAGTAATACTTTAACACCCCCTTGAGACACTGAAAAATTGATAAAATGAAGAAGAAAAAAAAAAGAATGTAGTTTGGGCAGCTGGTAAGAGTATGTGGCAAGACCGGAAACTAGACCAGACTAAAGAAATTAGAAAACTAATTAGTACGAGTGTACCATTCTGTTGCACCTCTAATTTTTTCTCGACTGAGCCACTACTGACTACATGTATTGTATATTGCATTGTAGTTGGTCTTGAAAACGACATAAAGAACAAATCACGGCAGATAAGTGTTCATTTAAATATGTACATTAGAGAAAATTAATGTCTCAGAAATAATAGTTCACTTTGCAGCTAATAAATAATGAAAACAATTTACCTTAAACATAACTTCAAATGTATGTTTCCTCTTAGATTAAACAGATTTTATACCATCATTATTTGTTGTGCATAAGTCATTGCTATAAGAACGTACATGTATTCTAATATTACTAATGTTTTAAATATAACTATTTTATACAAAAAAAAATATTTGTAATATTTTCCCCTTAATTTACAAGTTCACTCATTCAAGAAGTAATATCTATTTGAAGTTAGTATTCATTTTTTGCTCTTTCATCAGATGTCTCAATTTTTATCAATGTGCAGGTGAATAATTTCAGGCTGAAAATAATGTACCACATTACATGAACATAATATGTTTCCAATATCATTTTGCTGAAATACCCTTTGTTCCAGCAGCTTTTATCCCAATTTCTCTTCTTATCGTCCTGAAAATAGTGGTCGTAGTAGGTTGAAGTTATGATGATAGATGTACTGGAAAGAAGTACTAACACAGAACAATATTTCTTCAGATGCAAACAAATAAAAATGAGTCTTTTTGAATTTGTGAATTTGCAGCACAATTTACAACAGCTGTGTATTGTAGGCTATCAGAACTCAGCCCAGCAGCTAGGTGTCAGAATTGAAACACGCTAAATGTGCGGTGGTGTGTAGTTTTACCACATGAAATATCCTCATATATATGCTAATCATGAGGGGCAGTGATTACTGCCCAGAAAGTATTTCAGGGGGAGGGGGAACAATTTCAATAAGGTTCCATTTTTGAAATAGTATTTTTTAAGTTCTTAGCACAAAATTTAAAAAAAATGTATATGTAAATTCCTAATGGAATTACTGCTTCTTTGGATGTAATGAGATGAATGTATGGTTACAAAGTAGGACAATGGAAATCGTGTTCCATAGTAAGAACAGAAAATTTAAATTTGTGGAGTATGATGGCATGCGGATGAAACAAAACATGGTTTGAGAAATGAAAAACTTAACACATTGTTCCATCACATTCTTTTGATTTATTTGATCTCTGTAGGAAAACACAAAATTAAAGGCAATTAATTTCTGAGTGTTTATTGTTTTCTCACAAACATTTGGTCATATTTGAATTCTTAGCACAGTTGTGTGATATTTGCACTCGTTTATCAATATTTTATGCTAATTGTATTATGATAATTATTTACAGTGACTGTCTTGATGTAGTGATGACTAGATATTTGTTAAACATTTAAGAAATATGATCTTATGCTAATTAAAATATCCAGCTGGTTTAACTAAGTTCTTGTAAGCATTATGTACATTCACATTGTAATATAGATATCAATCACAAGACAACTGACTTGAATCAGTAAGAATTTACTGGCAATTTGTAAAGTGTAACAATAAAAGTAGTCTATAGAAAAAACATACTAGCAAATACCAATTAAAAATGACAATGACTAATATTATGTTAACTAATACCTACTTCATTAATGGCATCTGAAAATGAGTCGGTTCAAGTGCCTCAGTTTTTTTCCAGTCAGTTTCACAAAAACGAGGCTATTTGCTTTTGTTAAATTTTAGTATAAATTGCCTAATTTAAACCAAATTAAAAAAAAAATTAATTCATAGATTTCTAATGTTCCTTACAAACTCCCAGTACTTGTAAATTTATACATTAAATCAGCAGTCTAGATTTTATTTCAAGAATATAAACAGAAGAGTATTGATGAAATAGGTTATTTGGAAATACCTTGAGCATCCCTAAAATTCCTAAAGTTCTCAATGAAAACCCTATTTATGTAATTTTGTTGCAATGCAACATTTTTGTTTGTGACTTTATTTAGATACCTATTATCTATTGTGTCACACAATATCACAAATTTCTTTCCAAGTTTTCATACAGGGCAATGTAAACATTTACATTTTTTTTCTGCTGATTCAAGAGTTTAGTTAACTTTTAAGCTTAGTTCATTCAATGTATTTGTTTATTAAAATATGGCATCATTCCAAAACAGTTTCATTATTTTGCAGTCTTCATTTGATTTTACCACAATCCTAATTGTGGTGTTTATGAAATTATTTATGGATGATATTTATCACTATGCTAAAAATGATAATTGATTGTTTTGAACATTACAAGCTAAAAATAATTTAACTATGAGCAATATATACAATAATCTATGCATGACTGGTGTTGTACTACCAGCATTTCTAAAATAAAATTAAAACAATGTTTAGCATTTAAAATTGCTAATACAAAGATTTATATTGTCAAAGGAGAAGACAATGCCAAATGATGTTGCAGCTTTCAGTTGCAATACAAGAAAGATGTTCCTCATTACCATATCTACTAATTGACGAGGTGTTTGTTCTTTCAAAAAATGATTCATTTATCAACTCTGTTTGACAATCATAATTTCTTTTAAAATGTTCCTCTGTGAGTAGGTGTCAAGAAAGAGGCTCCCTGGTAGTATTTGGTAGGAACAAACATAGGAGTCCACCTCCTAAAACATTTAAGATAGAACAAGTTAATCAGGATATTCTGTATTATAAACATTTGTAAAAACATTATAATTGAGACATTATTTCATCTTATATTCATTGTTTCTTTTGTTTTGTGCAATTATTACTTCCTAAACACAAGAAATCTCCTTTAAGGAGCACCAATTTTCTTAATTACTCACCTATCAATAAAGCTGCCACTATGAAAGTTGGTGCTGGGCAATACATATCAAGCAATGTTGCTATTACTATGTTGCCAATAATTCCTCCCAATCTAGCTGCAACCATTGAAATTGCAACACCAGTTGCCCTGAAATGAGAAAGGTATGGTATAAATAAAATACAAATATTGCAGATAAATAAGTGCAATTCAACTAATTGTAAATAGAAAATTTTATAATTTTTACCGAAGATTTGTAGGAAAAACTTCTGTTATTAGACAATCCAGAGCTGCATTACCACAACTTATAACACTACTGAAAACAGCTGATACAATGAGATTGTGTTTGGAATTATAAACAAAGTACATTCCAACTGCACAAAGGCCAGATGTAAAAGTACTGAAAACTAAAAATGGACAATGTATTAATATTTTAAAACTTATTTCAATCATTAATAGTGTCTTATTTATAGTAATGTGCATCATCATATCAGCTTGAATTCAAAGTAATACCATACCTAAGAAGAACTTTCTTCCTAGTCTGTCCATGCCTAAAACTGCAATTATGTTGCTAGGGATGGCAGAAGCTACAGTAATTAATGATTCCATAAAAACTTTGCTTTCAATTGTATCTGAGCAAAGGCCATCTTCTGAATGTGAGCCTGTGCTAACTACAAATTCCGTCACTTCACACACTGAAGCTTCTTCACCAGGATGCATTCGATTGAATTCATCAAAGCGATTGAAAAGTTCTGGGAACCACATCATTAGACCATAGTATCTGGAAAAAGATTTTATGATACTATCATGCAAACTCCTCATGTTCGTTTGCATATTTGGTAATACAAACTTTTAAAAGGGCCAGTTTCTGTTATTTCAAAGAAAGTATAAATAATTTGTTTTCATTGTCTCTAAGTAAGAAATTAAGTAATATATACATTGCTAAAAGCATTATTGAAAGCAAAATATCCTTTTATGTGAAGTTCACCATTATAATAAAAAAAATTGCAAAAGTTCATTGGCTGCAAGTTATTCAATTAAACATTACAAATAAATAATTATACACCGATATGTTTCCTCAATGTTTTGAATAAATTTAAACAAATTAATGTTTGAATATCAATGTTCATGTGGTAGACCTTTGTGTATTTTTTATAAAAGTTCACTATTGGAAAATAATATCACAGTTAATATTAAGTTTTTCAATTGATTCTCTTGTGTTGGTAACTATAAAAACTGAGTAAATATTCAATTGCAAAAATTATTTCTATACTAATGGCCTCGATAGACTAATATTTTTTTTGGATCACATATCAATAAAATAAGAAGAAACTGAAATGAGTGAAAATAATTGTTGTACTTCTTTAAAATTACTCACCCAATGTGGAATGTAAAATTTATTATTATGGAGATCAAAGTAAATCTCAATATTGGAGGTATAAACAATTGCTTGCTATTGTTACCAACATCACTCATCATGTGCTTGAACTTTGAACATCCTCCTGATTCTTTACTTTTGTCTTTTTTGGGTTCTATCATTGATAAATCCATGATAAGTTCTTTAACCTGTGAATTTCAAATATTATTATTGTTTGTATTGTTTTATTACTTACATCTCTGGTAGTAAACTAAGATATGTCAATGAAGCAACAAAATACATATTCAGTTATTTTAATTCACCTAATTTGGATAGTAAGTAACATATCTGAAGATAATGTAAATTATAAACATTTGAAACACTTTAATATTCTCAAATTATTTTGCTGTAACTCCAGAGCAAATTTTCAATTTGCTATTGTAATACAATAGTATGACCATTTTTATACTGGTATGTTTTGTAAAACTTGCTCAGTTTTTTTAATGTAAAATGGTTCTTGAACATTTTTGCCTCTTAGAACACTCTTTTATCAAAGGGAACATTTCAGGCTACCCTTCAATACATGTGCAAATAAGCAAACCAAACCTAAATGCAATAGATTTGCTAATTTTGAGAAGATAGTATGTATCTATCCAAAAGTGGATTTTCAGAATTGGCTAACTTTGATATTAAAAGAACATGGGTGACTTCTTCTGTAAATGGATAATTATGGATGTGTTTGTATGCTTTTCCTTCCTGTACAGCACTACTGTGCAAAAATAAGCAAAACTTCCCATCCCATTATATTACAAAAATACAAAAATTACTGGCAAAATATTTTAACTAGCTTGTTGTACAATTGTGAAGTCTAAACATTTTGAACTTAAATGTGTTCATATTTTCCACATTCAATTATTTTCAATGAATATAGCTATGCTGTGGCACACCATTTCAGTACTACTGAGTTACTGAATTATTATGAACTTTTATAATCAATATTCCTTCTAAATAATTGAAAAGGAGATATAAAACTAATTATTGAGACAGAGTGTAAAGAAAACAGTAGGAAAGTGTCCCCCCCCCCAAGTCAAATTTTCCATAATTTTTGCATTTACAAATAATTACATATTTTTAATTTGAAAACAATCAGTAAAGTATTCTAATTTAGTAATCATAAAGATTTTTCAAAATAAATTACATACAATAGGATACAATATAAAGTTTAAAATGGGTTTGGCATAATTATTACACTCTTCAATCTAAGTTTTCCTGAACAGTGGCACTCCCCCTAGAAAATATGACACATATTCATAAAGATTAAAAAAAATCTATAGTATCAAGAATCATTCAATATCTCATATAAATGTGTTATAACAGTAAATCAACAAGTAAAAATACATTTTAAATTCAGCAAAAATGAAAAGTTCTTTATCAGAAAACATCAAGTCGGCTGAACTCTGCACCTCATCTCGCCATGGAAAATTCTGGTGGTGACCAGCTACGATGTCTTAGTGATAATGTCGCCGTTGTCTTTGTGGCGTTACTGACCGGAAACCCTAAGTTCGAGTTCTGTCGTTGGGGGAGTTTCGAATTCTAGCGGTCGACTGCTCAGATCGACCCCTCCTGCCCATTCTGCCTACGTTATCTCCTACCCATATCTCATTCAAGCAAGAACCATTAGACAACAGCAACTCCAAAAAATTCACTCCCAAAGAATTCCCACAATGCCATCTAAATCCCTTCCTCCACTCAGATCTCAAAATGTGTCCTTTGCTACCCCACCCATCCCAACCTTCAATTACAACCACAAACAAGAACCCAAGACCTAAAAGACATATTTTCCATTCTCCAATCCCCTACAAGAATATTCTACCCTACCTACGTACCTTCATCGACGTTCTTAAAGGTCCGGAGGACACTCTCACTAAACTTTTCACCACCAGACTAAAACTAGTTGAAATCCTTAATATGGCTCCCTTATCCAGAATCCTAACCCTTTCCTTATGGAACACACGTGGTGTAATGGCCCAGAAAATAAACATCCTCTCCCAATTCTTTAAAGATTACTCCATTGTAATCCTTGTATTTCAGGAAACTATGCTTACTCCTATCAATTCCTTTACCCTACAGGATTACATATTCCACCAAAACGACAGAACCTTCTCCCTCGAAGGTGGAGGCTATCGCCATCCGACGAACTTTTCCACACACCCTATACCAACTATCCCAACTAACAGCCCTAGAATGTACTGGCGTTTTAACTGGGACCCCCGCCACTTCCATATTTATCATTTCCTCATACAAAAAAAAGTATCCCTATCCCTACCTCCGACTTAGATACCCTTCTTAACCTGCCCATTCCTTCAAAATTGCAGGCTATCTAAACTCAAAATACACTTCATGGGGCTGCTTGACAAGCAACATGACCGGACTAAGACTAGAAAACTTCATTGACAACAAGCCGATACAGTTATAACAACATACAGATCAACAGTCCTCCAGAACCCACCTACACAATTGGCAGTACCCCACATGATATCCTTGACATAGTCCTACATTTCTTCCAACTCCACTTCACCATACCAATACGACCTTCCAAACCTTCCACCATCCTAAATACGATCTTTAAAATATTTCTGGCCACTTCCCAATAATATTCACATCTTTATCCACAACACCATTTCCTCTAAACCCCGAACAGCTCCCAAAACCAATTGGAAATATTTTAAATTCCTACTATCCAAAAAGATACACGTCCCACCCAATATACTAATTCTTTTCAATTCACAAATCCATAGAACACCTTAACCATCAAATCCTACATTCCTACAAAAGAACCTACACCTATACCTGGCATCTACACCCTACTTTCCCCGAAGAAATAATGAAAAAAGAGAAAACTTCAGCGGAAATTCTACAAACACATACGGGACAAGGGCAAGAAACTTCTGAAGCAGACATAAAGACGGATACAGACACTATTACGAACATACGAGACAAACAAATCCAACGACCTTCTCAAGGACAAGATCAGACTCCATAACCTATATAAGGCAATGAAGACAGTACGAAACACCCCAACCCGAATTTCTACTCTCTACATCAACTAAAACTCCTTATCCTTCGATCCCCAAACCATCTCAAACACCTTTGCCCAAACCCTTCCCAACCACTTCCTCCCCCGAGATATGCCTGCCCCCACAATGTAATACTCACCTTCCTGAAAAGCCCAACTTCACCCCCCAGACAGCAAATGACATGATCGACAAACGACGTGTTTGTCAAAGCGGGAGGTGCTAACTTTATAGACGTCGACGAGAAGATCTCATGTTTCAGTAGGGAAATACGCCACATCCGGGGAATGGGGAATCCTTGTTATATCCCGCTTCTTCTCTCAATACATCAACAGGGCTAATGATCGTAGCGGACCGGAAACACTAAATAATCAATCAGTTTGGTTGCCCTTCTGTTGAAAAATTATCCGCTCCATTCCTCCTAAGTCATTTATCAGGATCTACCTTAACTAATAAGTTACTACGTACTTTCCACGATTTTGAAAATTCTGAAATTTTTAGTATGTGATGTTTATCGTTTTTTCACTTTCAAGATATAACATTTTATTTTCCTTTAATTATCTGTACATGTATTTAAGACACATATTGAAGTATGACAAATTCGTTATAACGTTAAATGCATAAATTATTTCTTACTTGATATGTATCTTCCGGATTTCCAGTATTTGAATGATATATCCTTCTGAAAATATTAATAGTTTCTTCATGTTTGCCTTGAGACAATAAGAACTTTGGACTTTCAGGAAGGAAAAATAAAAGAATAGCAACAATAAAACTTGGCAATGCGCAAATGAGGAGAAAAATTCGCCATGAATTATATACAAAAGTAGAAGATTGATACCCTATGCCACTTGGTATAACTAACCAAGCCAAACCTGTAAAAAAAGAGAAAAAACATTGAATTAAAATGTTTACGAGATATTTGTACAATGTTTAAGATTTGATTTGATTAATTTTGATTTTTTGGTCAAAAACAGTAAAAACTCTAGTATGAGACCTATGAGGAAGAAGTTCTTGTGCAAGTTTAATCCGCACGTTTCCTTGAGCTTCAGAATTCTTTCGGCACTCTTTCCATATATGTTGTTAAATGACGAATAAAAGTACCAACAAAGCATGGATAGTAATATTTGAAAACAGAAATGGATTTATTTGATGTCAGATTACATATCTTTCGAAATAATTTTAACTAATGGTGATACAGAATGACACAGACTTTACCGTATTAGTTTCCTCGGTTAGCTATTCGAATTTGCCACTTATGCCTGCTGCCATCTATCGCTGCCCAAAGTACATTTATAAGTCATTTTGGTAATTTTTCGGTTTCCTAATTGTAGAGCGGAAGTATTATTTGAAGATTATTAAAGTACAGTCAAAAATTGGTCCTACATGGCAATTTTCTTTGCAACATTTGGAGCAGCTTTTAAAAAATACTGGCATTTAAGCGCTACTATAAATTCAAAATTTGAAGCCCTTTTTCACAAAAAGTTTTTAGTTTTCGAAATACTTCTTTGAAGTCATTTCAAGTATATTAACTCACAAATACGATAGTGTTTACAAATCGCTGGAAAAGGGCATACTAACGGCGTGAGAGATATAAAAAAATTGTGTAATTTTTAAAGAAACAAATAAATACCCAGAAATTAACTTTATGTCATATTAAAGAGTGCAATTACCACTATCCGTTCGAAGTGTTTGAAGAAAAAAGTTTGTAGCCGCTCTTGAGGAAATGGCGTTTGAGCGTTTCTGAAAATGCGGAGTTTTGAATTAGTTTTCACAGAAAACATAGTTTTTGAGAACCTTAATGTCACATTACTTAAAGCACATTTACTCGTAAATGCGATAATGTGAACAAATTGCCGCTAACGTAAATGTTAATAAAGGAGAGACAAGTAAAAGAATACAGTTTTGTAATTTTGAAAAAACAAAAGAATGACGTAAAATATGGCGTTTATGTCATCTTATAACTGCATTTAGAACCAGCCCCACTAGAAGCCGAAAGAAAAAATTTGGAGTCAGTTTTTCTCAAAAACGGCTTTAAATTTTTTCTTTAAATTTCTGGCAAGAATAGAGTAAAATACTCTTATAAAGTAGAGTAGGTCCGATTTTCACTCTAAACTCTGAATTTTTGTAAACTGCAAAAGTTTGAATTTTTACGACATTTTCCTATAACTACAAAGTTGAAGACAGATAATTTTCTTTAAATAAAATTTGTTCTCCTTAGTGTGTTCTTTCATTAAAATCATGTATATTTTTTTTAACTTTTAGTATCTTTCGTGCAACATTTGCCATTAAAGAAATTACAAATACAAGATTTTCTCAAAAACGGCTCCACATTTTTTCTTTAAACTTTTGATAGGGATATTGGTAAATGCATTTTATAAGATTACGTAAACGCCATATCGCACTATTCCTTTGTTTTTCCAAAAAATACATAAAATATTTTATTTGACTGTATTTGAATGTATTTACGAGTATATGTGCTTTAAATAATGTCATATAAGGTTTCTCAAAAACTGAACAGTTACCTGTGAAAACTAACTCAAAATTCCGCATTTTTAGAAGCGCAAACGCCATTTTCTTAAAAACAGCTCAAAATTTTTTCTTCATACTTTTCAGATAAATAGTGGAAATTGTACTCTTTAATATGACGTAAAGTTCATTTTTTCGAAAATAACAAAATGTAGTTTTTTGAAAGATTTCTTACGACGTTAAAACGCACATTTCCAGCAATTTGTAAACACAATTGTATATGTGAGTTAAAGTGTTTCAAATGACGTCCAATAAAAGTTTTTCTAAAACTAAAAAATGTTCTGAGAAAAAAAGCTTCAAATTTAGAATTTACAGTAGGGCTTAAACGCCATTTTATAGAACGGTTCCAAATTGTTCAAAGAAAATTGCCATTTGGGACAAAATTTTATTGTTCTTGAATATTTATAAATAATATTTATGGTCTACTATTATAGAACCGAAAAAATAAGAAAATTTCAAAAAAATGTACTTTGGGCGGCGATAGATGGCAAGTGACAAGATTATGTGGCAAGTCCGAATAGCAAGCAGAGATCAAAAGAAATAGAAAACTAATTCGGGAAAGTCTGTACCATTCTGTAGCACCACTAGTTTGTGTAATGAAATCTTGATGATAAAAAAATGCACGTGCTATTTATTAATGGTTCTAAAGACTTGTAATACGCTGACAATGGTGTCATTGCTCAGCTACTAATTAGTTTCCTTATCTCATTTGTTTGGAGCAGCTTTTCGGTTTTGCCCTATTCTTTCCCCAGCAGTCCCTTATTGGTGCTTAAAATATGTTTTCACGTTTCAATTTTTCCACTAATACTAGAATTGAAATATAACTGTAAGAATGTTACAGAGAGTTAAAATCTGGTACTACAAACACGTTTGCATTGAAAAATTTGGTGCAGTTTTTGAAAAATATCGTTTGAGTGTTTCTAAAATGTTTGATTTTGAGTTCATTTTCACAGAAAACTGTTGAGTTTTAGTTTTCTTTAAAATTTGATTGTAGGAGGGTGTCCATGAAATTTTAAACATTTGCAATTTTCAAAAATTCAGAGGTAACAGTGAAAGTCGAATCTATGCCATCTTTATTAGTGTATTTCATTACTACTGTGTATTCTTGCAACCTTTTTTTAAAGAATTGGAGTTATTTTTGATAAAATTTTGAGAAGATCCCAGAGGCTTCGTATAAAGACCATCAAAACTGCATTTTTTTTCAATATCGCAGGTCTTTGAGCTAGTCAAGATTGACCTGGGAAAATTCATTTTGGAAAAATGTCTACGAATAGTTTAGGCATAATGTTGTTTACACAAAATAGACGGACAGATGTTAAAAAAAAACTTTTTTCGGTATCAAGGAACACAAAAACGTGTATTTTCGTTAAAATCTAGAAATCGATTTCCCGGAGTTTCACACAACTTTCTCTGTATTGTGAGTGTTGCTCTGTTTATAAGTGTGTAATAGAAAATAAAAACGAAATGCAATTCTGGCCATTTTTTATGAATCTGCAACTAAAATTTCCACGACGTTTTCTTGATGTTTTGAATATTACACAGTTACATTTGCACTGAAGCAATTTACTTTGAAAACACTATGGAGTTCCACAAAACAGTTATTGAAAATACAAGGAGAATGTTTAGTTTCATCAGTTCCCTCTCCACCATTCGTTTTGGTCACACTATTCGGAATCTCCTTAAAAGCGAACGCATTTTTTTAGTCACCCATTATATTAAGCATCTATTGTGTATACTCGTATTTTACGAAGTTGTCGATTATGACTTACTGAAAATCTGTAATATGTAAAGGTTAGCTGAAGTAACGTAGCATTGGCCGTGAATTTATTTAACTCAATGATCTAATAGGCATGGAAATGTACGAATTCTTTCGGCAGTTTAAAATAGAAGTAATTTTATTTACATCCCCTTCACGCTAGTTCCCCTGAGCTATCCGCCGTGTCCCCTTACTTCTCCTCACTCCGTCCGCCCCCAATCTGCCATTCCCGCCTCCACCTTCGACCCAGTCTCACCGCCCCCGCTCGCCCATTACTGGCCGCCCGTACCGGTCTCACAACTCTTAATTGTAAGACAGTGCGGCTGATGTTTAACAAAAACTTGTACTAAGAGCATTCTTTGACCCATTCAGGGGATGAAATTCGAAAAATACTTTTTATAGAGGTTCCTCACTTGTTATAAGAAAGAACCTAATTCCAAATTTCACGTTTCTAGAAGCTTCAGCAATTTCAGCTCTACCCTGACTTGTCTGGGTCTGTTTGTCAATTTTTTCTCTTATAAGTAGATAGTTACAACCAGAATGTAGTCTGGTTCGTTTTAATGTTTGGTTGTGATCACACCATTTGTTCATGTATTTATGTTAGTGAAATATTGCTTCATTATGTATTAGTGTTCTAATTTACTATTTTAGAATTCAAAGTGTTTTGGTATTTTTTGTTTTGCACATGATAATACTTGAAGGTTTACCTGCCACAAATAAATTTCCTAGCGTCCAGAACGCTGCCATGAAACTCAACATGGCTCCTCTTTTATCTTTGGGTTGAAATTCAGCGAAATAAGACCAAATAACTGGACCGCTTCCACCAAGGCTGCAATAGTAAATGCATATTACAATATTATCCCGTGTTGCTTAGCAAGCAAAACTTAAAAACTAATTCAGTTGTTAACGTCATATTAGGAGTAAAAAGAGTTATTTAGTTATAGGAAAATATGAACTCACGCTGCTCCATTTAGGAATCTGAAGAGCATAAATAATTCATAGTTTTGACTAAAGCTTGAAGCTACAATGCATAATGCATTCATTATTGATATTGCAATTAACACCTTCTTTCGTCCCAAGGAATCTGCTACAGATCCCCAGGCATAAGCACCAACCATCATTCCTGAAAAATAATGAATTTTGTTGTTGATACCATGAATTTATTCTGGTAATTAAAAACAACGATAAAATAATTGATGTGAAATTCAACAAACCTATAAAAATGATACTGTTGAGCCATCCTTTTGTTTGTGTACTAAGTTTCAGGTCACATTGTGCTGATGGCAAGATGAAGGACATAGAAATAACATCCATCTCTTCACTTGTACTCACAAAGCCACACACTGCTAAAAGAAAATAGTGAAATTTTCCATAACCTGAAACCATAAAAAATTGGTTTAAACACAACAACAATAATATCAATTTCTTGTATCAGTGCCGGAGTTAAGTTCGTGAAGGACGAGAGCACTATATATATATATATATATATATATATATATATATATATATATATATATATATCATATATATCGAGTCGAAAGTAAACAGAGCCGTACGCATTGTGTCACTCCATACATCGCGACGCCTTTCAAAGGAACATGCAGGAATGTGGACGTTAGGCGTGTTTTCTTATCGCACCTCAACAAAACAAGCGTCGCCATCTCAAGGTGGGAAAGAGACGGCACATTAATTTCGTAAGACGAATATGAAGTCGATACCTGCCTTCCCACACGTAACACGGTATCGTAGATTTCAAGAAGACACTTCCGTTTTCTGTTTACTTACACAAGAATGTTCTGTTAAAAATATAATATTTAGTTAATAGTTATTTTAATGATAAGTCATTTTAAATCAGTTACAGCATTCAATCACAATTACAATGTATAATATAATGCAGATCATCATCTGAAAGCGGTATTCGAACGGTTAGATCTCTTAAAACGTTACTCTGTCATCAGGTATACAAGAAAATACAAAAAGCTTAATACAAGTAAGTTTCGCAATTATATAACTATTGCTTCCGTTTCTTCAAGATGGTACAAAATTGAAGTAGGTCAATTAAGTAATTTTAAAATGTGAGAAAAAATACAACAAGCAAAAAAATCTTTAGATCGTATGTAATATCTGTGAACCCCTCATAAAAAACTGAGATTTTTAAAGAACTTATATCCCCTTAACTGTGCCACCTAATAATTGCATTGTCTCAAAGCAGTTGCTGCCTCTTTAGAGGAGACCAGGTTTGTGTAATACCACATTCCCATACTACCGTGATTTGCCCGCTTTGAAGATATTTAAAACAGGTCAAGTCAAGCAATGTGAAGGATTTCGAACTTTATTTTAATAGACTTACAGAAGTAAAGGAAGCTTCGGGTGGGCGAAGAATTCCAAACAATTTTGGGTAAGGGGTTGACGAAGGCATGTCAATTACACGTATGAATGCGTTAAACATGCAGGGATATAGCTAAAGGGAAATTAACTTATCAGCCGGCTTTTCACTGATTCATATGCGTCGCAAAAATCATGAAAAATTGAAACAAATGACTTGTCATATCAACGGTTTTGATGAAGTCTGGTGTTAGTATAATTTACACATTAACATGAAATGTTTTTGAGGTTTGTATAGGAACTTCAGTTCTACATAAACCTCAATGGATACTGAGTGGAAAATTTAAACGATGCAAGAAAGTTCTTATAGAATTATTAGATATAGGAAACGGGTTGTAATGGAAGAAATATCTCCTTGGAATAGTATAAGGTAAAAGAACTGTAAAAGTTAATTTCGTTTTCTCGAAACGAGAGAATTTATAATGTATCACAAGGCAGTATCATGCATGATATGGAAATATTTTCTTTACATTAGGTGTCGCGAGAAGTACTTATCGAAGACAATTTGCTACTCTTAATATTATTATATCGTATTATCTCTGCTGCTTTTCACGACGTGAAGTGACGATTAAACCACTGAATAATTGTATCATTCATTTCTTGCCACCAACAACTGGTTTGAAGGTAAGTTTCGATTTCAATATCATATGATTTTTATATTGTGAATAAGGATATCTCTCAAATAGGCCATTAAAGTGATTTTTGAGTTTTGAAAAAATGTCGCGAAATGAAATTATTTCCCTTTGAATTACGCGCATAAAATATATTACAATTAAAGAAATAAAACAAAACTGAACAATCTGTCGAACTACGGATACTAGAGTGCGGTCATAAAAAGTTATTTAAATGTAAATTTATTATTTACCAGTAAGTTCAATAGCCTTTTCAAAGTCTGCTCTTTCAAATGTCTCTTTCCCCTTCTCAACATCTGGCTTTAGTTTCTCAGGTGGGATAATATCTGGAACAGAAAAAAACACATTATTTTGTGTTATTACAATTATTCACAGTTGTTACAATGTAATGAGCAGTAATTCACAGTGTCTTACCTCGAAGTTCAATCTCCTTGGAGAGTCCATTTACTTGTTCTTTCACATCCTCTGAAATTAAAATAGTATCATAAATATTTGTGCATTGGCCAACATTTTACGTAATAATAACAAGTTATTAAGTATACGTTTACAACAGGGAAGACAATAATAACAGAAAATGAAGTATCGCCCGTAATAGAATGACGCTTCCAAAACCGTGTGAAGCGAAATGACGCAGTGCCGACGCTCTGCCGATAATCAAGGGCTATTCGTCTGATTCTGTCTTCAAGTGCGAGTAGTCCAATCGTGTGCATAATACGGAAGTGAATGTCAAACCACCTTAGTCACTATCGAGAAAAAAAATCTCTCGCCATTTCACTTCCTGTACTGCAGGTAAGCCACTAATCGGAAGCCTATATTGGCAAATAATTCAACGCTTTAGGAATAGTAAATCTATTATTTTCATTAATACATTTATTGTTTCAGTTATATCGAGACATACCCAGATATCACAAGGGAATTATTGAGTAGAATAATACGAAATAGTGGTTCATTTTGAAGTATTGGTACCCGGGAGCGAAAGTATAAGAGTCGTATGTTGCATTTACAAAGAGGACATTGGGTAGCCATGTTCGACATAAAAGTATTAGATGCAAATATTGTGCTGTAAATATTAGGACTTAGAAATGTTTGAGGCCCGAAATAAACAATAAATATAAGACATTGGAGATTCTTAGGACAAAACATACTTGTGAATTGGGAGAACGACGTTTATAGAATATACATTTTTATTTTGGAAGAATCATCTGACGAAATACAAGAAAAATGAACAACTAATGGTGACTGGTTTTAGTATGGGTGTAGGCGTCCAGTCAAGATAGATGACTTTCGGGAAACAAGTTGCAGCAAAAAACAAAATTACTAACAAAAATTTGGAAAACAAACGGAAACAAATGTGACATATTTAATCGAAGTCGTAATACATATTTCGTCGCTGCCCTGAGGAAGCCTGCGACATGTCAGGCGAAACGTCGGCCTCTCAGCCAACGACGCGGCGTCTCCCGGATAGCCAAAAAATTACAGATTACTTGGAAACAAATGAAGGGGTCCGCACTTCTAGCATTGATATAATTGTGACGAGTCACGGTGTAAGATATATATGTGTGTTAACTAACCGCCTTTTGGGCAAATTTTCCGAAGCCAGGTTTTAGGATAGTTACTGGCTTGTCCGTGCGGTTCGAACGATTTGAATTGAATTGAATTTGCCTTATTTTACGTGGCGAGACTCGAGCCATCAGGCCCGTTCTTCCGTCTGACCACGCAAATTTCGCTACGGTCCTTTCATCAATTAGCAGAGAAAGGAGGTATTTCTTGGGCGAGAAACGGGCATTTATGATGGTTTCGGTATTTATGATGGCGTCTCGCGCATTTAGTATTTTCTGGTATTTCATTGCAAGAAAGGGATATTGGTCACTGGACACACATAATCGTGGAGGCGCTACAGTAAATGTATTGGAATCCTTTAAGTCTTAGTATAAAGCATTATGGAGGTGCTAAATTAAAAAAGAAGTGTAAAGTAAAGAATGAGGATTTACATTTAAAAACAGGAGTTGAAGTTATAACAACAAAAAACAATAATAGGGATTACATTATATTACTTTTATAATGTAATTATATTATAAAACTTATAATGTGATTATATTATAAAACTGTGTGAAATAGCCTCACGTAAGCTTCAGCTTTAGACTGGGAGTGAACACACATAGATATTTCTTACACCGTGGGTGAGTACGCAATTTATATTTTATTTTGTTACAAGCTGCATCTTGTGCTACCAACATAATTTTTGTTGCAAGCACTCGCATCAGCAAAGTGTCATTGCGGAGAGAATTTCCTAGCGCACTGTACTTGTAACGTGAAATTTAATTTTTCCCTCAGTTTTTTTATTCTATCATTATTTTGTGTTATCAAGTGTTTTAATTGAAGTAAAATTTTCGGAATCCTAAAGAAGAAATTAATGTCTGCGAATGGAAAAAAATACTGAAACAGTTCTTGGATATATGTTGTACACAAAACGTTGGAAGAAAATAATACTGAAAAAGTATTGTAAAGATATACAAATAGCACTCAAAGATATCAAGAAATTTACTGAAATAACAGTATTAAAATTAATTAAAATGATACTTTACCGGCGTGAAGATTCTCAACACATAGCCCTACATTTTCGCCAAAGTCTGAAGATAAATTTTACATAATTGAACACATAATTATTTTGATATAATTACAGTATTTATTAAACAATGTTTGCAGGCAGCTACTTCTTCAACGAAAGATTTGAATTATCTACCAGATTACTTTCAATCTATTCTAGAAATAACATGCAGAAGTTTGCTATCTCCTAAGTATTAACGTGCAAGAAAGAAAAAAGTAACAGGCTTTTTTGCAGAAACCACTTTTTTCTGCAATAGCAGGCAGTTTGTGAATAACCATATGTAACATATAGTAACTTTAATGCACATTATCATGCCAGAACATGCCGTGAAGGATTCATTCTCACTGCAAAGCAAAGAGGCATCTAAGACTGCTAAATCATTTCTAAATAACATTATACCTTTAATAGACCCAAACACTGAACTTAATTGAAGGCTATCTGAACATATATTGTCTTCACTGTGTTCAATTCCTGGATCCATGATAAAGGCACTGTAAAAATGAAAATAAATTAGAGATCGAAAAAAATCTTTTAATTATTCCAGAAGAAAATCATATTTTGTTTTCGTTCATTTGGTTATAATTTGCAGTTATCTGATAGAAACGTATTAGTATTACACAGTGCAAGATTCAAAAAAATAATTATAACAATATATTCGAACATACTGCTTATGAGAGAAGAGTACCCAATGTAAAACATATTTATTTAAATTTAACTGGTGGCCGCAGGTAGCTAAGGCTACCGATTTCTGGCACAAGACATTAACAATAGCAAAATAATAATAGTAATAATAATAATAATAATAATACTTGATTCGCTGAAAACTACAGAATTATAGAGACCATTTGGAAGAGAAAATTGCTCTTTTTTTAAACACCTTCAAAATGGATGATTACAGGCTAAGAAAAAAAAAACATGTACCTTTGGAATAAGAAATCTACCATAACCTGTGTACACGAACTTGAGAAACACATAAAAAGGAACACTTATAGAAGAAAAAATAAAGGAGAGAGAGATAATTTTAAAGATATATTGCAAAAAAATGGAAGGGTACCAGGGAAGGAAAGAGGTGAAAACTTGTTGCAAAATATTTGGAAGAAAGGAAAATGAAACAAAGTGAGAAGATGAAACAATCCCTAGATGTCCCTAACGAATATATAATAATAATAATAATAATAATGATAATAAAACATCAGTTCTTTTCGAGGTCACTGCAGCCCAATTCGGGCCATGGCCTTACCTTCGCGAACTCGGAGTACTAACTAACTCTTTCGCTCTAAACAGATTAATAACTTTCAACCTACCAATAGAAGGTCAAATACTCAGTATGTCCAATATAAGAGCGCAGTAGGTCTAATGGAACAAGATTTACGAGACAGAAAGTCTCATCAATAACACAGAAATCCAAAATTAGAAAGTCTAATAGGTAAACAACGAGGGCCTAATATGTATACAGAGAAGATCTAATAGGTATAAAGCGTTCATATCGTTATTGTCGAGAAAATTCTTCCTGAAAACCAAACTTTAAATTTCAACAATGTTAATTAAATTCCCAACAAGGGAATTGTTTACGTTGTAATATATTAAATCATAAATTCCGGCCAAAATGAGCCCCTTCACTTCATCGAGTAAAGGTAATTTCACAAAGACTACGATTCCGGTTTCCGAATTAAAAACACTACTAAGAATAGAATAGAGAAGAGCTGTCGACGTTGGAGCTACAGATTAAAATTCCTGTCTCCACCAAAACGTTTCAAGCCAGATACTTTCGAAAATTATGACTATTTTCAACTTTTTACTTTCTCGTCCTTATTTCGTTCAAAGAGAAATCATTGAAATCGTGGGCTGGAAATTTTCGACATAAAACTATTGTTGCCGAGTACTGGTAACAAAAACGATAACATAAATCTCATCCCAAAATATAGTCAATTACTTTCTGTAGAACATGCTGTGATAATGAATTCATGTTTTATGGGTCCTCGACACCAGAAAATCGATTGACGGCAAAACGTCTGTTTGTCCGTCGGTGGTCAAAGCTAGCGCATAAACGTGATTTTCTTCAAAATTTGATTTTCAGTTGATTTTCTTCAAAATTGATATTCTCTCGATTTTATTTAAATTAACTTGAGGCCCTCGGAGTTTCAAACAGTTATTTTGATTTTGGGAGTGCTTTTGATTTCGACGGTATCCTCAACAATATTTTCCAAATTTTATCAAAAGTGGATCCAACATTTTTGATTAAAATTTGTCCTCGAATGGCATAATACTCGTTTAAGAGAATGGCGTAAGTTTAATTTTCGTTAAAATTTCTGATTTTTCGAAAATTGCAAAAGTTCATATTTGTTCGACGTCTTCCTACAACTACAATGTTGAAGATAGAGATTTTTTCCTGAATGAAATTTTTTAATAGAAAGACGGATCTTGAAATAAGGAAATGTACAATTTTTAGAAAATGTGAGTAATTTTTGCGTACTTTTGTGTAAAATATAAGGCAGTTTTTACATTTTTTGCATAAATAACTCCAATTTTTTCTTTAAATTTTCCCCTGATATGTATCAAAGAATGGTAAAAATGTGGTACTGTTCTCATTTCCGGCGAACTCAGTATTTTCGGAGATTGCAAACTCTTAACATTAAAAATTACAAAATAGAAAATAGAGATTTTTGCGTGAAATAAAAATTTTCCTGAATAAGAAGACCTAAAAAAAGTCATGTAGAATATTTTGGAAAAACTAATAGTTTGGCGTAATTTGTGCTTGAAATTCATGCAATTTATAAAAAAAATTGTAAAAAGTGTTCAAATATTTATGTTTTCCTACAATTTTTTGCACTGATAGAACAACAAATACTTGAAAGAACGGCACAGGTCTCGTTTTAGTTGCACTCTCTGGATTTTCGAAAATTGCAAATTTAGAAATAACGCGAGAAAGAATGTGCTGTTTTAGAACCGTAGTTTCTTGTTATACATATAAGGGACTTTGTGAATTAGGCTTACCGCTCCGTATTGTGGTTTACTTGTAGACAATATACGGACGTAATAATATCGAGGACAACATTATATGTATTTCTGTTAGACCAAAATTGTTTGACGTTTGTATTTGTTGAACCAATTTTTTAATTAAACTTGTTTTCGTGAACCTCCCTATATTAGACTTAAAAAAATGAGGCTTCATGTCGTTAAACCTAATCCTCATTGACCTAACGATTATTGATTCTTTCGTTTCAAAGTTACAACAGACTGAGACATAACATTCATAAAACCTACCATTATGGAATTATTATCACAGACAAAGCTACAAAGAAATGTATTTTGCAATATTTATTAGAGTTCTATCAGACAGATAAAAAACTCAATTATGTTGTTCAACTGGCATCAAACATAATTAAACATATATGCTTCTGTGTAATAGTAGCTAAATTATACAAAAATAAAATTTAAATATTATGGAACTTTTCCCGAAATATTTATATACTAAGGTATCGAAAGAGGCACTTTGCAGACATATTGTCAAAGAACCCATATTAAGAATGATAAAGTTTGAAATGAAAATAGATAACTGGTAGGCGCAAAATAATAATATTAATTTTAATAAAAGCCGGGCCCTGTAACCTTGTAACTCTCGTGATTCAAAGGGTAACAACATTGTCTTATCAAAGATATATCCGAAAAGCGTATTCCTATTAGACACACATTCCTTATACATTCATTATAAACACGTTAATCTCTTCTGGATAAATATGACTGGGACTCGGAAGATAACGTGTATCATGGTCATAAATGACCGATACACATATAATAATAATAATAATAATAATAATAATAATAATAATAATAATAATATGAAACTATTTGGAAGATGTACCTGTTTGCTCTTGAGCGTCTGCTTCAGTTTCTACCATTCTACGGCTCAGAACTCTTGCAGGCCTTTCTGTAGGATCTTGGAAACTTCTTTTACTGGAAAAAGAGAAACGAAAATCATTTTGATGATCATTGAAAATTTATTTTTTTGAGATTTTTAATAATGAAAAGAGGGATGTTACAAGTTTTGAAATACGAGTGTATATAAGCAAGCATCGGTAGAGTCTCGTAAGAAGAATGTATTATAAAAGTGTGATTCTTTGAGTTTACACACGTCTTCATATATTATCAAATCGCTTAGCCCCTTATCACATCTCCACACACACGTTCATACTGACTGATTTATAAAAAAAGAGAATTTACTCTATGAAATAAGTATTATTGAGTTTGAAGTCACTCGTTTAACATTTGCAAATTCAAAATACAAGCAAATATTGTTTTAAAATGTCATTTATGTCCCATACAAATGTTAGTATATTGAGATTTCAATTTAATGCGTATCAGAGAATGTGAGTCCAGAGGCATGTAAAACGTCACGTCTGATTAGGGACGTTAAATTGAAATAAAGATACGCATTTCAAACAGTTTGTCGAAATATAAAACGTCATTGTTTTATATTTAGTTATTTAGAGAGAGGGTTTCACGTGTTGAAAATGTAATAATTATTATAAGTATTGTATTGTGGTGTTATATAGGTAAAATGCTTAGCCATATTTGCCTAAATATTTGCATGAGTGATAAGGTGCAGGCTTGTGTATATAAGAGGGTTCATAGGTCTACGTATGTTTGTACAGTGGTATGTACAGTATGTATGATGTATGAATGTATGTGTGAATGAATGCATGCATGTATATTAATGTAGTATGTAAGTTAACTTATCTAAAATTTCGTATATATGTATTTGGATTTGTAGTATTATGTATGTAAATGCCATCTGCATGTGCTAGGTAGTGACAAGGAAATGTTTTTTATTTTGTTATTTTATATATACTGTTTTTTGTAATCGTAATTGTAATTGTTCCTTCATCTTAGTACATTCTGCCTTGGCAACACATTCCCAATTCTAGAATAAAGTTCCTATTTATCTATTTACACGCAGAAACACGAAATGTAGTGGAAACAATGTTCCTTATAATTGGAGACATGCAACTGTGAATCTGTGCGCCGGTGAGCCGGCCACCTGCCGAACACATATGCTGTGCACAAAGCATATCTGGGAAACCAGGGTCCAAAAACGACTAGGATGTCTCTGTTTTCACAAGGACGTGTCTTTTGAAGGAAATAAACATTATGTAATAAAAAATGATGCAAAATAAGTTATTAATGCTATTTATACGTCATATAAAACTACTTTAGACAAAAGCCGTTTGTGACTCGTTCAATGAAAGTAAATTTCCCACGAAGTAACAAAATGTAGATAATAATAATAATAATATTAATAATAATAATAATAATAATTACAATAACCATAATAATAACAATAATCATCATAATAATAAGGCCGATTAAATGGCCGAGATATAGATGTTAGTTATTAGAAGGTATATAACCCTGGGGGATAAAAATCGGAACCAGTGCTGATCTCCAGATAAAGTTACTTGCACCTGCCACAGAGATAATGATACTGATCTATGGTAATTACAGGGTGCATGCACGCGTGGACTAAATCGGCCTATTCGCAAGCAAAAAGTAATGATACTAATAGTATTAATAAATATTAACAAATGGATATTGAATGTTTTAAATATGGTATATATATGTTGAATAAAACGAATATGTTTTGAGTGAATGATATGATATGAAATAGAGGTCTTGGTCTTAATAGTCTTGATAAAATAGTTTTAATCTTCCGCGAATCATTGTGGAATGGCCAACAAAATATTCACGGTAGTGTAGCTGCCTTTGTGTGGTGTGATAGGTGTCAAATATTTTGAACGTCTGCATGAATGGTAATTGTTCTTAATAATTGTTCATTTAATTAGTGTTCTTTTTGTGTTTATTGTAACGTTGCCTGGTATTTGTATATTAGTTTATTACAACTAAATAGGTTTTTAAAATATGGTCTAAACATAAAACATTCTGAATTCATTTTCTTAGTATAACCTTCATGTCTAACAAAAAATATTCAAGCAAGTAGTGAAGTCGTTTTGATATTGGTGTATTAAAACAATATTACCTATATTTTTCGTTCTATTTGTTTATTTCATAGTGATAATAATTTTATTAACGTATTTATTAGCTAAGTATATGGCATCTGCGCACAAGGTCTCAGTGCGTAGTGAAGACAACCAGTGTTTTATTGACAAATGATTTGCCACATTTTATCGCATCCTCTACCCGAACTTTCAGGGAACGCCACAGATGCACCCACATTCTTCAGAACTAATTTTGGTCGGTGTGAGAGACATATGTAGCATCAAATGAAATTTGAAGATCGATTGCTCATTCAAACAGTTCATGTGTTGCCAATTGCATTTATTTATACTTTTCTTCACAATTCAACTATGCACAGTGTAGGAGATTCGAGAACTCAAGAAAACATGCGCAGATTGTACGCTCTTCCGTACGTCGTATACAGCTTTGTTTTATGATTTTACTATAAACACATAAACAAATAAATGAAAACATAAAAGATTACTTTAATATTTGTCTTTATGCGGGGCGATATCTACATGTGGAATATTTCCAGTCTTGGCAACACATTTTCCACATTAATTTCCATGCGGAATGACATCACAAAAATAAGACTGAACACGACTACAGTATTTTCCCAGTTTTAGAATATCCTTTTCTTCGTATTTATTTAAGACGCCTGTTAATATATCATTTTGCCGGGAATATTTAATTAAAAATAGCATTTAATACTCTCGAAGCAACACTATATTTGATTCCCATTGTTAGGTGGAAGAACTGATGATGAAGATATACAAGAATAAGAGAGGGGCTTGTATACTGAATAATAACATCGTAACATTCGCAGACATAACGACTCGTTGGGCAGTCCACATTGTTTTAACTAGAGGGTAGTGTTTGGTGGTTTTCGTGGAGACGCCTACGCATCAGTAACGAAGCATAGTAGAAACACGCTGCATATCGAGGTGTAGGTGGTCAGCCCGATGTTGCGTGCCATGCACGAATGGCAGCGACGTGCATTGAGCTGCAATACGGCGACACATAGACCAGACATTTTGTCCACAGGACTATTTTTATACCCTCACATCGAAAATTGTGATACACAGTCTATTAATTAGAGTAAATTTTTTATTAATTCTTCAATTACGGAATTACTTGAAACTTGGTGGCAGAATAATTTAAATTTACGTTAACTAAGTGTACATTGACCAACAATAAAATACTTTACAAAACAACGTATATTTACAGGTCTACAGCAGAAAAACAAAACTGTACAAAGTAATTTCTAAAAACGTAGTAAAAACAATTAATAAAATACTCTTGTATATGCAAAATAATGTATATACAATTGTCCCTATACGGCCGTCAAAGCTCGCACAATGTCAAATAACACATGAAATAAAGTAGAAAACATGAGTGTATATCCCTTATGTTATCCTTATCATTATGTATATTCCCTGACGTGTCCATGCCATCGCACCTCGAAAATTACGCAAACTGGTCATTCGACTGAATTTCGTTTACGGCTTCTTGCAGCTTATCGCAGCACTTTGGCCGGACGCCAGTCGAATATGCAGGCCTTGGCAAAATGTATTTGCTCGTGGTGCTCACAAGTCATTTTCGAAGTAGGTTGAGGGATATACTGTAGCAAAGTCAAACTGAACCACCGTAAATGAGTATTTTGATACTGATATTATATTAAGCAGTTGTCATTGTAACGCTTTCGTAGCGAGTTGAGAATATGCCCTGCGCTATTTCACACGTGTCTCATCGTGTTTTGCAGGCATTTTAAGGCTTAATGAGGAAATAAGAATGACTTGCGATGTACATAATAACAATGGGTTTAGTGGTCGGTAGAGGTGGATAAATAACTAGGAAGAAGCTATATAATCAATATTTTTTCCGGTGCCCTGAGGTTAGTGTTTTATCTCCGTTTCTAAAAAACACGGGATGATCAGTAAACGTTAGCCAGAGTTCCAAATTTGCATAATTGCAGCTGCATCATTAGTCTTGTTGAAGAAACTGCACTCAAATAATTTTCGCATTGCGTTGTAATTTACTTCAATGTCATTTTTAGACTGCAGTTAATCAACATATTGTAATTCTACAATATATATATATATATATATATATATATATATATATATTCTATTATATATATATAATAAATTTGTGCTCATCTCTGATCTAAGTTTCTCGAAACTTTTTGAGTTTTCGAGAAACTTTATAAGACATTATATGGAGCACCTGTACTCACAAATTCCGTAATGAATGAGAAGTGCCGGTAATGTAAACATTAACGAACGTGAGAGAGATGACAAAAATTTTACATTTGTTTATTTTTTGAAAAATTAAAAGAATACAGCAAAATGGGTTTTTTATAATCTTATACACTAGTGCATTTAGCAATATCCGCACAAAAAGTTTTGGAAAATGGATCTGTTTTTGACATACTCTTTTTTAATATTGTTCACATTTCACTCAAAATTATGGAAAAATACCAAAATGTTAAAAACATGTTTACGAGAGAGAACATTTTGGAGAACAAATTTTATTTGACTAAAAATCTATCTTCATTATCGTAATTGAAGGTATTAGACCCCGAAAAAGTTCAAACGTTGGCAATTTTGGGCGTTCGGAGTTTACAGTGACAATGTGATATATTCCATCTTTATTAGTGTACTTCACTCTATTCTTACAAGAAATGTAAAGAAAAAAACTAGAGCAAATTTTAAGAAATATCGAAAATATCCCCTGAAAAGTATTCCTTTTGGATTTCATACAAAGAACTCCCAAAATTTAAAGAAAATGTCTCAAAATTGCGGAGCGTATTGTCGGGCCAGATTGATCAGGAAATATTAATTTTGGAAGAAACTCGTTAAAATAGTTTAGCTGCTAGTATTGTTCACGAACAGATGGGCACACAGTTGGACGGACAGATGGACACATAGTCAAACGAAAAGGCGG